AACAAAACTCACATCTGCAAGCCCATTTTAGAATGACACTCAATGACAAAACCAATGTGCAAGCTCATTTTAGAATGACACTCAATGACAAGACTCTATCTGTAATTCTATTTCATACTTGTTTATTCTGTCATGTTATACTTGATTACCTTTCCATAACTTTGGCAACATAAGGTAAATGCATTTCAATACTGTGTTCATCTTCATCTGTCTCAATTGACATCTTTTCAAACTGTCCAGTTGACATTAACTCACCATAAACTGCAATGAATAGAACAGGGACATGTATGTACAACTGAGAATATATATTATATTCTTGATTGTTACACAACTTTGTAATTAAACATGTTTTTAACATAACACATCATCAGGTAGCATACATACACCACAGGGTCTAGGTAGGATACCCACACCACAGGGTCAAGGTAGCATACCCATACCACAGGGTCTAAGTAGGATACCTACACCACAGGGTCAAGGTAGCATACCCATACCACAGGGTCTAAGTAGGATACCTACACCACAAGGTCAAGGTAGGATACCTACACCACAAGGTCAAGGTAGGATACCCACACCACAGGGTCTAAGTAGGCTACCCACCCCACAGGGTCAAGTTAGGATACCCACACCACAAGATCTAAGTAGGCTGCCCACACCACAGGGTCAAGGTAGGATACCTACACCACAAGGTCAAGGTAGGATACCCACACCACAGGGTCTAAGTAGGCTGCCCACACCACAGGTCAAGGTAGGATACCCACACCACAGGGTCTAAGTAGGCTGCCCACACCACAGGGTCAAGGTAGGATACCTACACCACAGGGTCTAGGTAGGATACCCACACCACAGGGTCAAAGTAGGCTGACCACACCACAGAGTCAAGGTAGGATACCTACACCACAGGGTCTAGGTAGGATACCCATACCACAGGGTCTAAGTAGGCTGCCCACACCACAGGGTCAAGGTAGGATACCCACACCACAGGGTCTAAGTAGGCTGCCCACACCACAGGGTCAAGGTAGGATACCTACACCACAGGGTCTAGGGAGGATACCCACACCACAGGATCAAAGTAGGCTAACCACATCACAGGGTCAAGGTAGGATACCTACACCACAGGGTCTAGGTAGGATACCCACACCACAGGGTCTACTAGGTAGGATACCCACACCACAGGGTCAAGGTAGGATACCTACACCACCCACAGGGTCTAGGTAGGATACCCACACCACAGGGTCAAAGTAAGATACCTACTCCACAGGGTCAAGGTAGGATACCTACATCACAGGGTCTAGGTAGGCTGCCCACACCACAGGGACAAGGTAGGATACCTATACCACAAGGTCAAGGTAGGATACCTACACCACAGGGTCTAGGTAGGCTGCCCACACCACAGGGTCAAGGTAGGATACCTACACCACAGGATCAAAGTAGGATACGTACACCACAGGGTCAAGGTAGCATACCCATACCACAGGGTCTAAGTAGGCTGCCCACACCACAGGGTCAAGGTAGGATACCTACACCACAGGGTCAAAGTAGGATACCCATACCACAGTGTGTAATTGGGATACCCACACCACATGGTCAATGTATGATACCCACACCACAGTGTCTAGGTAGGATACCCACACCACAGTGTCTAGGTAGGATACCCACACTACAGGGTCTAGGTAGGATATCCACACCACAGGATCTAGGTAGGATACCCACACCACATGGTCAATGTATGATACCCACACCACAGGGTCAAGGTAGGATACCCACACTACAGGGTCTAGGTAGGATATCCACACCACAGGGTCTAGGTAGGATATCCACACCACAGGTACTCCAGGAAAGTATTCTATGTTCTTCGTGTAACTAGATATTTGTATGCAAGGGATTTTTCCACACAAAAACAATGAATTCGCCTTAAAGTTGCCCAAACAGATCATTTCTGAAAACTTGGTATTTTTTCCTGACTGGAATGTGAGAAACCTATTTTTCAACTCTTTAGTTTTAAGCTATATTGACATGGCTGCTCCCATATAGTAAATATCAGTATCACATTTTATTTTATTATCATTTGTACGCCAGCTGACTGTGACCCACACACAGGGTCTGGTGTAAGGATACCCATCCACAGGGTCTGGGTAGGATACCACACAACAGAGTCTAGATATGGAATTGACCAATGTTACTTACCCTGTGTATCAATGGGTAAATTATACAGAGGTGTGTCATAGGTCACAGTCCTAGACAGTGCACATCCACTCAATCTCACATGATGGGATGGCCCAAGAATGAACACTTTTTTCCTAAAAAAAAAACAATCAACATTATGGATGAGTCATTTTAACCTATTATCCATGCAATAATAGCCTTTTAAGTCTATTGTCTTACATTTCACTTCATGTTTAGATCTCCATTGTAGATACCCTCATGATATAAATCCTTTACCCTATATAAAAATTCATAAATCACCGTATTATGTTTGTATACTTACACATTGGTTGGATCCACTTGTTTGTAAGCATGGGCGCCACATTTACCACAATATGCATAACCAGCATGTCTGCAAATAAAATGGTACTTAACAAGACAAAAGAAAGACATGCCTGAATGATGCCACATTGGCCAGTAGTCACACTCACACAATATTTGAAAGCTAAATTTGGTATTTAAAGTAATGTACCATGCATTGACAAAGTAAATACATATTAGGTGTGCCATGCAGTGATGAGATAAACACATCTCTTCACATAGAAATGTTCCATCTATTTGTATTAATTTTATAATTAATTCAATCAGTTTATTTTGTGTCGCTGTACACTATATCATTGGATTACAACTGATATTAATGTTATGAACACCATATAATATAACACTGCTTGTCATATCAGATACTCACGGTGCTATAATAGCCCTGGCAGGACTATAGTGAGAGTCAAGGGGGGCTCCCTGTAACCATTGGTCTAACTCGGCTGATAAGTCCTTCCCTGTAAATAAAACAAAATATATATAACTATTTTAGATACACATCTACTTCAAGGCTGAAGTTGATTTGCATACAAAGCAGATGCTGCAAACACAATAGTTATCATGAGAGGGCACCCTTTACTGTTCATAATAAAGTCATCACACTGTGAATATGTTGGAATTGTTGTGCTTAATTAAATAAAGTTATTATTATTATTATTATAATGAGACAGTTCATATTTATCTAAATATCTAATTTTTTTTACAGAGATACTTGTTCACTAAACTTGGGCAAGAACCAGCTAAGATCGTAACAGAACCAAGTTTGATACCGTTTGGAATAGAAGTAGATCTTACACTCAAGTTATCTTATACACATTAGCAATTAGTAACTACAATAATAATAATAACTTTATTACACTACTAAAAACCTTCAGAGGGTTTTTGTATGGTTAGGAACATAAATACAAAGAAATACAAAAAACAAACATACAATACAAAAGAGATAAAATAAAATGCTAGTAAAATAAAAGAAAAAATTAATTAATTACTTTCTGTGCTCTTCAAATATTTTGCTAAGGCTATATTATTCTCCATAATCTTTTTAAATATGGAATTCACATCCATTGTGTAAATAATTATTGCACACTCATCAAACAGTTTTTTTTAATAATGACGACAACAGACATTATCCCCTAATATACCTTTCCCTTCTATCTTTGATACGAGCACAAGCTTTTCACAATATACACAATACACTATAAACCATGAGCATTTTTTGTGACGTGGCAAAATTTTTACATCATCAAAGAATAAATGTGCATCTCAAAGACATCTAGCTCCAGCTTCCAGCGTTTCTGCTAACATGATTTGCATATCAATCATAAATCAACATACATGAATATCGCCAATGAAAATAACTATCAGTCAAACACGTCATAACTATCAAAAAAGTTTAGGTTGTCAAAATAGGACTTGCAATCACATAACCATGGGTATTCAATCCGGGTGCTGCACTCCCCCCTCCCACCATCTCAAGAAACAAAATCTTGTGAAAAATACACAAGAATTACATATACCATAAAATCTGTATTAGAAGCTGCATCCCTAATAGAAGTCGCACCCATTCTTTTTGAATAATTGAGAACAAAAAATTTATCATGTCTCATATGTGCAGATGCTCTAATAGAAGCCGCATCCCCTCTGTTGCATTGTACCATTTTAATAGAAGCCGCAGTTTCTAATAAAGATTTTACAGTAATTGTTATATACATTTTCAATAAAAGTCAAACAGCCAAATATTAGTCACGTGATCATAAGTCACTAACCATAAAATCACAACATCCAAACACGCAAGGTCACAGCCGAGGTCGCTGACCTAGATTGACCTAGCCCGCTAAAATAACACAATTCCAAAGAATACACATTTGATATGGTTTTGTACCATTAGAGAAACTACTACAAAGCTGATAAGACCACATCCGCGGAAAATACAACATTTCAATAATCTATGCAAAGACCAATGATTTATAACAACAAACACAGCGCGGAATTCATCATTCATGACTCACTGACGGACAAAAGAGACAGTGAATCGCCGTTACCTGAGCGAGTATACCAGCTACCAGCATGCGTAGCTCTTCTAGACTGAATCGACATTTTCTGACCTATTTTGACGGGAATTCGAACACGATTAAATTGATGGAAATTGAAGCCTTCACAGACACAATAATGAATCAGCTGAGTGAGACCGGCAAATTAAATATGGCAGTCGCGACAATGCTCCCTAGGTTGTTGAAAAATTGCAAATAATAACCACCCGAAGGTGCATGTTATAGAATTCTTTATAATGTGTCACGAATAGCTAGGAATCAACAATACATGTACCTTTATACTGTAATTGTTCTAATGTGCGGCGATAGAGGTAATATACACACATGTGAAGATTTTGTTATGAAAATTTCCAAATTACATATTGAAAGAAGCTCATCCCAGATAAGATATGCCACCCGTTATAATTTACTCATATTTCTACTCCACCCTCCGCGTTAACGTCAACCATAGTGTGTCGATCTTTTCGCCATATATTCAAAACAAGAGAGAAAAAACTGAAAACAATATACTAGTAGTCAGCAGAGTCAGCTATCACAAGATAAGGTCATGTACAAGCATTAGTAATCCAAACATTCCCCAACACAAATATGGAAAACAATCCAATTTAAATTTTGTCAGTTTTTATTTTCCTGTGTGTATTTTTATTCTCACTTTAATTGTTTGTTTGTCTTTATTCACATCTGTATTGCATTTTAGTCAAAATTCTAATAGGGATATGAACGCAATAAAGATAATTATTATTATTATCTTGTATATTAAAGGGCGGTGGTCGTCGCGCCGCGCATGTGCGACATTTGTGCTGATAAACATTGATTTTCCCACAATGCAATGCGTTCTTCTAAAGGAAGTCACAAGTATGAGGTTTGAACTGGGCGCGACTTGCACTAATTACCGCCGGTGACTCCTTCTATACCTTCCAATCACCAAAAATATATTTAATTAAAGCTTGATATCATCTCAGTTTGTACTCTTAGATCTGCGAAACCGCCAAAGTCGCCATCTTTGTTTATATAAGACCCATATGTCTTGCCCTTTAATTACATTTGAAAATTGGTGGTACATATATTTGTTTCATGAAGGTTTTAGTCCAATGCTTTTGTTGAAAATATAATCGATGGAATCAAGATGCGAATTACTTACATCTCTAACGTAGATACCAAGCTTACGGCCACTTTCATAAACCCCTGCGTCATGCATCCAAGGTGCTAGAAAGCCCGTCCATTCCATAATTCGTTTCATTACGAGTGTTGTCATTATTCTTTTTGTTTCAGTGTCATAGTGTTTTACTGAAATTGGTTCCATCTTTATTCAAGTTTCATTGCAAGTGATATCAACATTGTTTGTGTTTCAGTGGGGGAGATAGTGTTTTACTGAAATTGGTTTCATCTTTATTCCTGTTTCATTGCAAGTGATATCAACACTGCTTGTGTTTCAGTGGGGGAGATAATGTTTTACTGAAATTGGTTTCATCTTTATTCATGTTTCAGTGCAAGTGATATCAACATTGTTTGTGTTTCAGTGGGGGAGATAGTGTTTTACTGAAATTGGTTTCATCTTTATTCATGTTTCAGTGCAAGTGATATCAACATTGTTTGTGTTTCAGTGGGGGAGATAGTGTTTTACTGAAATTGGTTTCATCTTTATTCATGTTTCAGTGCAAGTGATATCAACATTGTTTGTGTTTCAGTGGGGGGAGATAGTGTTTTACTGAAATTGGTTTCATCTTTATTCATGTTTCAGTGCAAGTGATATCAACATTGTCTGTGTTTCAGTGCAAAATATATCAATCGTACTCGCACTTAATTAGTGTAAACATGAACTTCCCATTTCTCAAGACAAATCACACTTCAGGCATGAGATGTTTTATTGCGCAAAACAAAATCATATAATGAATATTGAGGAATCAATGTACAAGAAATAATGCCTAGTAAATCCATCTAAATTATAGTTACGATCATTTACGATATTGAGATATGTAAGCAGCTTAGAAATTAGCATATGGTATTTATGAATTGTATGTACATAATTATAACATGCGCAAATGAGATTCGTACTGGTAACTTGTAACTTCCCTGGGAAAGTCTTCAATGTTCTAATAACCCCACTAACTTCTCTCAGTTGGGTGAAGCGAACTTTTTATTGAAATAACAATGTTGCAATATGAATACAGACAATAACTTAGTCATAGTACGTACCAATTAAGATAGCAAAATGTCTACCTGTTAATAAGATCTCAATGAGTATGACTGGAAAAACGATTTACAATATTTAAATCGATACCACGATGTATAAATAAGACGTAACTATAGAAACAATTCATAGACTACTAAATTGGAATTGTGCGAATGTGTGGTATAACATAAGTGTGCACCCAGCACAAACACCGTCTTTCTAAAATTCTGCATAATATATACTACCTTGGGCGCTATTCAAGTCGGGGTCGGAGTAAATTCCAGTATATAATGTGCAGTAGTTTGTGCCATCATCCGTTTGCAAAACAAAACTCAGACAACCAGAATAGGACACACATTCAAAAGCACAGTCAATTGATGTCTTTACTGACGTCGTCATTACGGGCGGTAGACTTGGGACATAGTCAATGAAGCGTTCCAAGTAATTCCCATATCGGTAGTGATTCAAGGTATCTGTGAAGAACATACACGATCATTTGTACAGATAGAGTTTGTATGGTTTTCATTATTTCGTGGGTATTGGTCAAGTCGGTTTTTAACAATACTTGGATACTCGTTGCCATGGATAATGCCAATATTGCATCAACATATTCAAGTTCGACTAACTTTTCTCGTGATTCCGACAATGCCCCCCTCGTCATAGTACTAGTAAATTAATTAATACATAAAAGTCACTCACTCACTCACTCACTGAACACTATGAACAATATCTTGGTATATCATA